TAAGTATCATTTTGCCAAATATAAGAACATTTTTATTTAGATTTAAAACCTCTTCTTAAATAGATGTGAAATGTATTTCAGACTTGCTGCATATTTTTCCAAGAGGGAAAAGTGGAGAAAAAAAGAGTATAATTGAACATTCAACCAAATGACAATGCAGACACTCGAGACTCCACAGTCTATTTAACACAATGTCTTGTTGTTTTGAAGTGATCATTTTAATTGGTAATGTGATGCTTCAGTTAACCTTTGCATTTAACTTCCTAGCAAATGAGCAAAAAGCAGAAATTGAAAAATGGAATACTGGCAGGAACAAGAAAGAAACCTCTAATGTAATCATACTAACAGCTAGTGAAAACACTACCATTTCTTCCATGAAGTGCCATGGCTGCATGGAAGAGAACAGAGTGTTCAATGCAAGACCTTTTTCCATAAGCACCTGTCCTTTTTACAAGGCCAACAAAAAAGAAAATCTGGTGCTTGTTCGTACAAAAGCATGTAGCTTTTTTGAAGAGTATCGCCAGGAGAAAAACACAAGACAATAAAACACATTCTCAACACTCTGCCACTTATCTCATGTATTCTCACCTACTATTATCAGTAATTCACATTTATATTCCAGCTCCAGAATAATCAATTTAATCTAAAAGTCTGATTAAACTATGAATCAATTGAATGATTAAAATATTTTCATACGATACAATAAAAATAAGTGGGTTTCAAGGGGTTTCACAGGAAGAGGATTTACTTTACCGTCAGTTTCCCAACGGCCTTATACAGTATGTTAAGGGTAAACATTAAAATATTCATGTATCAATTAAATCTGTAGAAATTAACCTAATAAATATAACCGGTCAAAGCTATTACGAGCTCTTAAACACCAGGAGTTATTAAGCTGATAAATCCTGCGGGGCTTTGGTAATGTGCGGTTCTGATTAATACTAATCTCTAGTGCTGAACGGGTTAACTAGTTTCAGTACGTCCTCTGTGTTCTGCGACTAATGTTAGTACAAGAAAATTATAAACTACATTAGGAACAACATAAACAATTAAACACGTTGCTTTAGTTTGTGTCACAGTACACTGTGATATCATTAAGCCTCTTGTATGGACTAATTGTGTTTAACACTTCATGCTTTGATTACAATAATTATCTTTAATTGCTCTTTAAATGAACCCAATGATACCTCAATTAATAATAAGCATCAATGGAAAAGCCTCTGAAGTGGTAATGATGCCTCTATAACATTTCATCAAACTGTGTATCATTCTAACCCTTGTGGTAAAAAAAGCTTTGAATATAAATGCCTTTTTAAAAACTCGAGTGTATGCATTTAAAACTTTGATTTAGTTGTTTGATGGTAGTACCCTTATTGAAACCCATTTGATAGTGAATATTAAGTAACAATCTTGTCTTTTAAAAAGGTCAGTTCACCTTTATCATTATTTTCAATGCGAATACTTTTTACTACGCTGTTGACAGAGAAGACCATTGATTATCTTGAGTAATTACCATGAGATTGTTCCACACATTTCAGCACACATTTCACAATTGGATCAAGACACAGACACATAGAACCTTGAATAGACCTGATCTGAGGCACTTATATTCATCTATCCTTTTACTTTTTACTCCATTGAAGAAAAGAGTAATTGTTCCTTTTACATTGGTTAGTTCCATGCTTAGTTTGAATTCAGTCATTCACACAATAACACAAACAAACTACTAGAATGAGGCAGAGGCAGAGTAGCATCTCCAGTTTTCTGTTAGGTACAAAATAAATAAAAATAAAATGTCAATGGATTCAGATTGCTTTGCACAAAGCATAGAAAAACTGCTTCAGTCCACAGGCAGAACGAGCTGTTGGCAAGGTAATGCAATAACATATTAAAGTAATACGCTTATTTATCAGGTTGACCTTTTTCAAGGTGTCCTAAATAGCTGCTCCGCCATCCTCAGCAGTACATTGCTCAGCGTCTGCTCAGGTACTGTTTTCCCAAAAGGGCCTGTCGACCACCATCTCCCCTAGGTTACAAACCCACAATGGATTAGTCCCTCAGACAACCTCACTTCAAAATATACAAACTATTCCAGTAATTCTACCAAAGTGCCTCTGAGCAAAACACTGCAGTCCTGCTCCCAGCATAGAGGGTTACTGCTCTTGACTGACCCTTGACATTTTGGAAAATATAAACATATATAACTGTCTCGCTATGAAACCAGAACCTTTTCCTTAATTCATAACAATATTCATTAGGCCAATAATGCCCCATTGCATCGATCTATCCCTTAGGTATCTATTAAGCTTTTATATTTGAACATGCATACCCCTATGATGTTTCAAATATATACTTTTAATATGGAAAAGCCCGTAAAAGTGCCTTGCATGCCCAGGGACACAGTGTCTTGTCCGGACTCTGAGGCAGTGTAATTGCTCCGGGGGCCCCAACCTAACCCCAGACCCGTCTTTACAGCTCGCATTAGCATACATAATACTGCTCTGTGGACTCAAAGAGTCATGCCAATTGAAATGCAATCATTTTCACAGCGGAGTGCTGCCATCACCACTTTAATTGAGTGTGAGAGCGCTTGCATGTGTGTGTGCATGGCTTTGTATCATGAGACAGGGGATAATTGCTTTTGCAATACAACATAGCAATATGTTGTTAATTCAATGATAGGACTTGATTGCTTTTGTCTAGTCGTATTCCCTGGGCTGGCTCATGTGTTTGTGATGTTTGTCAGAAAACAGAAGGTGAGACGATAACTGCTGGCCACATCCCAGTAGACTGTCTGCACTGTATTTGTATGGACACACACAGAGACAGTACACAGACAAACACAATAATTAATCAGAGCTGCATGCTAAAAACAAGGGGTCTATAAAACTCTGCTAAAATAAACATGAGAATTGCACTTGCTATGAATGTCCGACTGTTCAATGACAACCCACCCCAATTATCATACCCTAGGTTTAGGATTGCTTTTGTCAAATTACAAAATGGTAAAACAGAGACTAGGATGTGTGTGTGTGTGTGTCATGGATCCTCTTTATGTTATGTGTGATGTGTTATATGAGTGCAGTTTTAGTGGCTGCAGAGCAACAGGATAGACAAAAATATAGTACACCCTTACACTTACACAAAGACAGGTTGTGTACTCACTACACTATAATAATGTAATATTGAATAAATGGCCTTGAACCTTAACCTTGACTGACTATTCGAACAATACCCTAACTTCTGACCTGATTATTATTCCTACTTACACTAACACACACACATGTGCATGCACACACAAACAGAGTCCAGCTGATTGTCCAACATTGTCTCCTTTTGACACAAATGGATTGTAAAGCACTGGATGAGGAGCTTACTGTATTGTGACTAATTTACATTAAAGAGCAGTTATTTCCATATAAAGTGGACAAAGCAAATAGCTCTCTAATGAAGATCAGTGTTAGTTTTGTTCGTGGCTAATTTCTCTCAGCGTCAGAGGAAGAGCCTGCAGGGACAAAGTGATTGAATTATGGGAATGTGTTTTAATGGCAGAGGCTGCTAATTAGCCAAATAGAGAAAGAGGACATTAATCTTTAAGCCTATTGTAGACTATTCAAGTCTAGAGCAAACTTGGCACTGCTTGCCAAACATAATGGCCAAATGTTAAACGCTTTGGGCAAGAAAGGTACTCAGGAGCATCAAGGTTAATCTCTGGATATCCCCGACAAGGACTTTCATATTCTTATTTTATACGTGTAGCTCCTCACAATGTCTTACTGATAATTGAGCTTTTCTGAGTTAAGTGGTAAACCATTCTAATGTTTGATTGTGTTTTATTTTCAGAGGTTGCTGTTGTGACATCAGAAGTCCTGTAATATGCTTGTGTGCATGGTCTTTACAATCTTTCGTTAATTAAAAATAATGCCTTCCCAAGGTGAATATACCATACTAGAGTTTTGTTACGATGTATGAGACACATATTTAATCAGGACAGGTACACATAGGAAATATCTGGATTAGTGAAATGTTTATGGAATATATCATTTATTAAACATCTTGCAGGTTGATATTAAACTGCAGATATCTAATGGACTGACTCCAAGTTTCAGTTTTAGGTTGAAGACTAGTGGTATAATGTTTTTGGCCAAAAACAAGCAAGCAAAGCACACTCAGTGAGAACCTGATCCTTCAGTCGTTGACGAGGCGCTGCCACTCTCTGGTTGAATGGTGTAACTACAATGTGGCTAGACCAGTGAGGCACTCAATCTATCAACCTCAGAAAAAAAGGAGTTTGCCTGAGGACATCAAAAGCTGAAATGAGTTGAAATTTGATCATTTATCAAAACTAGACAAATTAAAAACCTTGATTGACTTAAAAAAAAAGTCAAATCAGATCACTTATTTTTAACAAATGCAGTGCATGTCACCAGTAGGCTACTTGGGAAACAAAGCAGATATAAGGAGTAGATAATACTACATTTCTATGTTGTAAATGTAGTTGCCTACTCATGTCCTACATTCCTAACACAAATATTTTTGAAAAACTAGGCAAATGTAAGCTGCATTGTAGAGGATAGGAGTAAGTAACATAATGTTCCTCATTTGTTATTGTGATTATTTGTCATACTCAGTAAAGCACTTTGGGCTGCGTCAAGCATGAAAGGTGCTATATAAATAAAGTGTATTATTATTATCAATATCATTATTATATACCAAAGTAATAGGAGGAAATTATTAAAAATTCAGGGAATATCTCAGACCTTGAGAAGACACTGTAGGCTAGGAAGTGCAAACTGTGAATTGAGAAATGCTTAGTATTTCCATCATGGTTAATAAGTAAACGTCTGAGTCTAGTAGAGAAATACCGGAAGTTCGGTAATTGGAATTTCAAAATAATAGTTACATCAAGAAACAGGCCCATCCAGCTTCATTACACTGGTTTGATTTGAAAGGTACAACCGGAAGTTGATTTCATTTTGTGACGTTTGACAACATTCTTTCTTTTCTTGACAAAAAAAGAAAAACCGTACACATTGGTTTATCGATAGTGTAGCTACACACAGGAGCTATGAACCTACAGTTTATAGACACCGAGGTTGCTGATACAGTCGAGCAGCTTAAGCAGAAATATTTGGAGAGGAGGAAGCAGGTTTGAGTTTAACAACAACTTTAAGTCACACACTCATTCAGCTCGTTTGCAAACTTCAAATGATTTGAAGTTAAACAGCGCATTAGCTAGCATGACCAATATCCTTGTGTAGTGTCCATAGACTGTATATATAGGTAGTGTCACGTTAAATAACACTAACTGAGCTAAAATAGTTAGCTTGTGAAAAAACATGTCCACCGTTACTAACGCTAAATAAGCAACATATTAATATCAACCTTATAACAAATTACGTTCAAATATGTTTACTGTATTAAAAACTTCAGTTAGCCTATATATGTTTTAAACGAAGTTCTTTTATGAATTTTAATTGAACCAACCTGTTGCAGTGCTCGCTTGTTGTCATGACGTCAGATGAACGTTGAATGCCCGCCTGAATGAGCCACTGAAGACTTTTACAAGTTGAATGTGGTCTATAAGCTATCTGTATGTTGGAATAGGCATCATGCTAGCAATGTCAATCGCAGATTCCTTTCCCTTAAACATGTCTTTGTCCTGATTTGTTTTAGTTTCCATCACCAGAAGACATTTCAATTGGAAGAAGTGAAGGTAAGAGCACTTCACACAGGGCCTCCACTTGCTCAGATAACAGGTTATTGATCTGGTTATAGCAATGCTCTAACATGATACAGTTATTGATATTCACTAATGTAGCAGTATAGAAGTGATGAGAGGATATGACTGTATTCGTTATTGCTCCACCCCTCTATTCCATATTGTCTTTTGCTGTGTATTGAGATTTTGGAAGGTACATTGATCTTAACAATAATAGGCTTTGTTTTAACTGAGTCTAATTCAAATCACACTCGTTGGTTTGATCCACATCTGCTTCATAATATCTACCAAACATTAACCTAATATGCATAACATTGCTTTATGTTAACTATTTCAGAGGCAGTACGGCAGAATATGTTGACCAAGCGGCCAAGCAAAGAGTTGAAAAGCTACAGCAAGGCTTTATATGAGCTGTTCGAAGCAGTTTCTAATAATCCTGACCAGTAAGTCAAAAGAGATTAATCCTACAAATACCATCTCTCATATTTTAGTTTTAGTATTATGCCTTGATCAAAACGTTTTGCTATTTTGTATCTAAGGTTTGGCAGTGATCGTGGTCTGCATGGCAGTAATCAGGACCTGAGGGGGGTCTCTGCAGGTTCCCCGCTTCAGTACTCCCAGGCGCTGTTTACAGAAACAGGTGCGTGTGTCACAGCAGTTTGCCAGTCAACAGTGTTTTATTCATAGCAAACTCAAAGTAGCAGCTGCTGAATTAAATTCAGGGTTAACATTTTCTTAGGAAAATCTTTTGAATCCACATTAATGTGATGGCAGATTTAAAGTGAAGGACTTTGCAAGATAATGAATCCTAAAATTGGCCTCACTGATTAGTCCATGTACTTCACTACTGAGTTCTTACAAATACGAATCACTTACTTTCCTAATATTGCTGAAAGATAATCGGATTTCTCCTTTTGGTCTGATAATGACATTGACTTTGACATACCTCTATTATTCCTCTATATTTGTCCAGATGTGACTCTGCCTTCCTCTCTGGATGAGAGCCCCGGAGCCCAGGACAATACGAAAGATGGGGAGATGTGGAGAATTCACAGACTTCTTGACATGAGATGTTCCTCTTCCTTAGTGCTAGAAAACGTGTACCAGGAGATGATGACCATCTATGAACAACTAAAGGTGAAGAACATAATCATTATAATGACAGTGTATCAGTAAATGTGGATGGGAGAACTACGACACAGAAAATGTGAATTTACCGTTTCCTAGTGTGTCTTAAAGAGATACCTACAGAAGTGTGTACCATCTTAAATTGCAGATAATGTTATATTACATGATATTTTGTGAATTTGTTGTGCAATTTCCCATTATTCTATATTTTTGGATGGATTTGGCAACTTTTTATTGGAGATATAGACATACATATGGTAAGATTAGTGTTTGTATGTTTGTTTGTATACAGGCAGAGCGACTAGGCCAGCAGAGGTGGGAGAGTGAGCTGCAGGAGCAAGAGAGAGAGCTGCAGGGGCGAGAGAGAGAGCTGCAGGAGAGGGAGAGAGAGCTGCATGAGCGAGAGAGAGAGAGCTGCAGGAGAGGGAGAGAGAGCTGCATGAGCGAGAGAGAGAGCTGCAGGAGCAAGAGAGAGAGCTGCAGGGGCGAGAGAGAGCTGCAGGAGCGAGAGAGAGAGCTGCAGGAGAAGGAGAGAGAGCTGCAGGAGCGAGAGAGAGAGCTGGAGGAGAGGGAGAAAGAGCTGGAGGAGAGGGAGAGAGAGCTGGAGGAGAGGGAGAGAGAGCTGCAGGAGCAAGAGAGAGAGCTGGAGGAGAGGGAGAGAGAGCTGGAGGAGAGGGAGAGAGAGCTGCAGGAGCGAGAGAGAGAGCTGCAGGAGCGAGAGAGAGAGCTGCAGGAGCGAGAGAGAGAGCTGCAGGAGCGAGAGAGAGAGCTGCAGGAGCGAGAGAGGAGGCTGAGTCAGCAGGAAGAGGAGACTGCGAGGAGGCTGGTCAGGATGGAGGAGATGCTACACTCTAACACAGTGATTCTCAAACCTTTTTCAATAATGTACCCCCTTTGAAAAAAAAATTCAGCCAAGTACCCCCTGATCAGCGCAAAAACAATTGTTAGGGACAAAATGCTTAAAGAGGTACAGTGCAGTGCTGCACCATCAGTGTCTGATTTATTAAAACAACAACCTTGTAACTGAGAAACACTTAAATACTAAATTTCAAATGTTTACAATCCATCACTAAATTCATGGCAAACCAATTTTAACATCATGCAATAACACTAAGACAACATTAGTTGCATTGAACTGATCTTTTTAATAAGTTGTTCAATTTAGTGAGAATCATGGGCTTGTGCTTCACTGAGGATCTTTGTCATTCTGACAGGGAGGCAAACTGCAGTTATTACACTTCGTGTTTTGAAATATGTGTAACTCTGTTCATATAAAACCCACACTGCTCAAACTTCCTTACTTTTCCTAAAATTGGTATATTTATCTTATCTTTTTTTTTCATTAACATAAAATAAATCTCACGTACCCCTAGGGGTCCGCGTACCCCCATTTGAGAACCACTGCTCTAACACACCAGCTGTAGAGGAGGTCAGTAACACACACGTTCAACACAAGGGACGGGTTATATGTTTCTTCACCATCTCCGTTCAACTACAGCTGGGCCATATTTATTTATTTTTATTATTTATTCTACTATTTCAACAATGTAGACAGTTTATACATCTTAAAAACAAACAACATTAGTAGAAGCGGGGGGGGGGCAGAAAGCAAAGCTTATACAGAAGTAGCTCTCCCGTTAGTCATCCTGTTGCAGGATAAAGTCAATAAAAGATACTCACACAGATAAACAGAATTCTATATATACATACACATACATATGTACACACATACATTCACCCATTTCCAGGGTGAAAATAAAAGAATAAAGTCAAACATACAAAATAAATGCCTATAAGTCCATGTTCAGATACCAAGACAGTTTCATTTCTCATCCTATTTTGATGTAAACTGATAATTAAGATAATTATGATAATAGTCATTATCATTCTTATAGTATTTATAATTATGATTATCATTATTGTTATTAGGGCCCGAGCACGGAGTGCTAGGACCCAACGGCGTCCTAGCACGAAGTGCGAGGAACCTATTGTTCTTCGTGGTATTATTATTTTTCTGCTGGCGTTTCCTGTTTTTGAGGCCTTTAGGACGCTTCAAAAGTTGTATAATTTTGCATGGACGCCAGGACTGGTGAAAAATACAATATTCTGGAGTCAATGGGTTAAATATTCCAACCTGCTCACTAGCGCCACCTATCAAAAGCCCATTTCCGAATAAATGTACAAAGTCGCACCGTAACTCCAAATGACCTGACATTTTGCACACATATCCGGGTGGACCTGCTCTACAAATAATCCTCTTGAAACCCTACGCTCCGCCGACATTTTTTTTTTATTAGCATAATATTCAAAACAGTGAAATATTCACTTAAATTTCAATTTTCAGTTTTTCAACACCAAACTTCGTATACAGCATTGATGGAGGGTCAGACACATTGCCATAGAAAATGAGCATGTTAAGACGATAAATATTGCCGCCATGAATCAAAACGTACTCGCGAAAAAGCGGGGCTTAGAAAGAAATGCTCATAACTCATCAACAATGTATCCATATATCACAGATTTTGGTGGATAGGTTCAGTCTGTCTTGGGGAATAGGAACACCAAAGCATTTTCATTTTGGAATATAGGGGACGCCAAAAACACCACCAATGTATAACTCAAGAGCGGATGGACGAATTTTTTGTAATTTTTTTTACACATACTCTGGGGGTGACTACGAACTGAGATTTTAAGTGTCGCAACAAATGCAGAATGTGGGTGTGGCCTATACATTTTTCTTAAATTGCGATAGCATAAAATGAGCTTCGGACGCAAAACTTGGGACACACGTCAGAGCCCACGTCCTTTTCGAGAATGTAAAAAAAAAACGTAACTTTTCCAAAAAACTGCTCACTAGCGCCCCCTATTGTGTGGTAGTCACATATAGTTTCTCAGAACTTCATTGATTTTGGCACAGACATTCCTCATGGAATTCCGGACATATTTGTAAATAGCTTCCATTAGCCCCGCCCCCCAGGAAGTCGGCCATTTAGAATTTTTTTAGTTTTTCATGCATTTTAAGCACATTCTTGCAAACTCCTCCTAGGGGAATGATCGGAAAAATTCCAGTCCAGGACAAGTTCATCCCCTATCCAATATGATGCTAAATAGCGAAGACACATTTTGATAGCTCAATCGTGGAGGTCGTAAGCTAACAGCGAATACACCACTTTTGCCGAATTATATTTCGCAAATTACTCCAAACTACTCGCACATAGGTTTTCCAATATTCACGAAACGCGGTATACACATTGCTCTTATGAACCTGGACATATTTCAAATTGCCTTCCATTAGCCCCGCCCCCCAAAAACGTGGCAATTTTCAAATATGTGCATTTCTCATGCATTTTAAGCACATTTTTGCAAACTCCTCCTAGGGAAATGTTCGGAGAAATTCCAATCCAGGACAAGTTAAGCGCATATCCAATGTCATGCTACATTGAGAAGGAATAGTGCTTCGCTCAAACGGGGAGCTCGTAGGCTAACGGAGAATGTACAATTTTTTACCAATTATATGTCAGATAAGCTACTGAGACCTGCCTGTCTGCCTGGCACATCAACTCTCACACACACAAACACACACACACACACACACAAACACACGCACACACGCACCCACTGTTAGTCCAACAACGCCCTTTGCTGGCGGCATATTCATTACAACAGACACCTATACACTCCCTAACCCTAACCCTAACCCTACTGTTTATTTGTAGATATCTCCTAAAGCCTACAAATAAAGTGTGAAATGTAGGCCTGTTACATATATTATTGAGCCATATCATAGACACTGTTCTGCTTTTTGCACTGACCTCAGCAGCTGTTCTCACTGTAAACATTGCCTCACAATGAAAGCCGTTGTATTAAAAAAGAAATAGCCTAACAACAGGGGAGATGTGATTAGTGAGTAAACAAACGGTAAAGGGCAGAATGACTCGCGCGCGGCTGCTTGACGCCGGGACGACCGGAGGCCCTCCCCGACAGGCGCACAGACGCGAGGGCCCGCTCATCAATGCGCGCACATCTGCGACCGCAGTTTTAATTATCATTGTCATATAATCATATACACTTTTTGTATCTATTTTTAAGTTAATCCAAAGACACAATGACCGGATAAAGATAAAAAAAAATAAACAAAGAACAAAAAACATTGGAAGCCAAAATAACCATTGCATTATATTTTAATATCATTTAATTAGTCTTGCTATCTATAATTGAAAGAAAGACAAACCTCAAAACAACGTGTGCGCTAGATAAAAAACAAAAACTCAGGTCCCATACACACATCCATGTTCATACGCTACACACACAAGCCCAGGAGAGGTTGTCTGTGAGAGGGGGAAAGCTGTCTTGGAAGGTGGATAGCCACAGCAAGCTTGTCCTCGCCTTAAAATGTATTATTCCGGCTGGATCTATGACTCTTTCATTTTTATGAAGCAAATCAAACTAAACTTGTATCATTTCTGTCATGGTTAGTAAGGAGTTGCGCATCACATGAGAGGAAAAAGCAATCAACTGACCAATAATAGATTTTGAATAGCACACTCAAGTCCATGTAATGATTCACTAATCAGCTCAGGCATTGTTGCTGTGATTGCACTGTGCATAAATGAAACGGTTTGTATGGATGTGTCACACAGAAACACCAGCAAGAGCTGAGCAAGCTGCAGGAAGCTCTCCGAGAGAGGAGCAAGGAGAGCAGGAGGCTCAAGGCCAGCTTCGACTCCATCAAGGGGCTGAACGACAGCATGAGGAAACAGGTGAGAAGTGACACATTTAGACCATGATTGTCTGTTTGTTTTTTGTTGAAAACATTAAGGTTTCATAAAGTCCTATTTAATGCTGAAAGGAAATTGACATCAGGGGCTGAAATGTTTACCATGAATACCATGGATAAACTCATGGCTAAATTCATGGTCAAATGTTTGGACCGACAGACTTTTGAGTTTTTTCATTTGATTAAAAGCTCATGATGCAATGATGTAATGTAAAGCGCTTTGAGCACTTGGAAGAGTGCTAAAATAAATGCAATGAACTATTATTATTGTATTATTATGATGGGTCTTGATTTTATGATTTTGTTTAAATGTGCAGGCTTTCTGATCAGTATGGTCGAAAATGTTTTAAAACAAGTTTTGCTTTCAGAAAAATATCAAAAGCCTGCATAATCTGTCAACAGCCAGTCCATTTTTTACTCTATTTTCCATTTATTTCCTTAATTATGTCACCAACAGTCAAATCTTTACTTAATAACAGTTGAAGAAACAGAGGTTCATACCCGACAGTTAGTGCCTTAGGCCACACGAGGGCGCTATGACCTAACTCCTCTCAGAGTTTGAATGATACAACAGTGGTTTAAAATCTGCCAATGATACAACAGTGGTTTAAAATCTGCCAATCTGCATTGTTTTCTTGGTATTAGTGTTAGTTTGGACCTTGAAGTGCTTTTGTTTTTTTGGATTAAGCCCTCTTGGCTCAAAAAGTGAGCTGATTTGTAGGCATTGTTATGAAACAAATTAAGAAATGTGTTTCTAGACTGGTTCTTGCATTGCAAAATTACATTTACTTTTCTTTAACCCAACAGTTGAATGAGATCATTGAACAGAATAAAAAGTTGGAGAGCCAATCCAAGAGGGTGCATGCTAGACTTGAGAACCTACAGGTAAATCTGACAAATGTGTGTTTTCAAAACAGTTTTCTTTGGAAAGCACTTCTAACATACAATTTTAAATGTATCATGATGATCTTAACCATGTGCTCCCTTAATTGAAAGCATGTATTTCCTGTAGCATGGACATATAATTGCATTTAAAGATTTCAAAAATACATATGGTTTCAAGATCAATAATAATATTTTTCTTTTCAGAGGAAATATGAGCACAGCATTGCATTGAAAGGCTGTCAGAAAGTGAGCACAGAGATGATTAAACCATCCCAAAAGGAGAAAACGGCTGCCTGTGGAAAATCAAACAACAAGGTAGTTCAACAACAGCGTGTTTAGACACACACAAACACAAATCACACACAAACTGGAAATAGTACAACTGCCTTTTCCACAAGCTGCACTCACCCTGCCAGCTGACATGATAAATCATAGTTTAAAATGTGGTTCTCATCACACAACTGCTGTTAATGAAGATGAATTGCCAGTGGATACAGTTGAGGTTGGAGCTCTGTCGATACAGCTTCATTTATCATTTTGAAAATGATCTTTCATTTCATTACAAAACATTGTTCAGCTTTTGATAAGCATCTTCAGACTCCCCAGTGGAACCACAGTCTTGATGTGATTTTCACACTGTTCTGGATACACCTGTAGCTGAACTTAAAATAGATACATTTTTCTAGTCCTGTTTCCTTAAATCTTGACTTCTTCTGTGCTCATTGTGACTTCATGCATGACATTTTGTAGAATCCATATCAAGACATATATGACAGATAAAAAGGGTTTAATAAAATTAGCAACTATAACCATAAAAAGTCATAATTTGGTGACAACGTTCCTGGTTTAGTAATTGAACCTTGTTTTGTACACTCATTCCCTTAGGGCAGCTCTAGTCCCACCTCTCTAAAGCTCCAGGCCCTTCTCCTGGACTGGGTGCTTAATGAACAGACGCTCTCATCAGCAGCAGGAAACAAAGAGAAGGGTCTCGGCCACTGTCTGCCTCCAGAGATCGTACTCAACGAGAGATGCCTGAAGGTGGAATTTTACCTTTAGCTTTACTGTGGTCTTTGAACTTTATTACAACTGTATTGCATATTTTTTATGTCCTGACCACAAAAGAGCATTAGAGATGTTTTGTCACAGTCAACTTTGGTTCCTTAGGTGCTGCCATTATTAGCAGATCAGCTTCATCACACTCCTTCATCGGAACCAGACCTCCTTCTAAGCCTTCTTCGACTCATCCTCTGGGCTTTGAGACAGATGGACAGCAGCACACAGGTACAGTGTTTCCCCAATATACAAATAGCGGCGCTGCAGCCAGGTACCAAAAAAAAAGATATATTTTTTTGTATTAAAAAAAGCTAAAAAGCACCCGTTTTGATTGTTTGTTATGTGGATTTGTAGTATTTGTGTTACTGTATGTTCAATAAAGGTGTATTTAGCTAAATCTTGAGACATTGCCACAGTGTACAATTTGTTGCGTTGTTAATGAGCAGTGTTGTGCTAGTTACTGAAAACCAGTAACTAGTTACCATTACTAGTTACTTCATGTCAAAAGTAACTCAGTTACTTTACTAGTCACTTACACCCAAAAGTAATGCGTTACTGTGAAAAGTAACGCATAACGTTTTGGTTACTTGAAAAAAGGGCTCCCATTAATGCCCTTATAGCCTTCATTTCAGTACTGTTATTGCATTGGAGAATAATACAATCTGTTGATCAACTTGACATGCATTATATGCAATCTGGATTGCATCGATATTAGCTGGCTTTCCATTTTTGTATATTCTTTCTCCAGGTAGTTGGAAAAAGTTTTCCGTCCCATATGCCGTGTGCCGCCCGGACATGCTATCATGCTAACTAGCTCCCTGAAAGCGGGTGACTCCACTGTAGCAATAGCCTGCATGTGTTCTCCAACATACCGTGCAATGGCTTTATCGACTTTTCCCTGGATAACAGTCCTTTGGTTAAAATCCAGCCGCTGTTGCTTAGGTGGAGGTGGAGTGGCGTCGGTTGAGTCTCTGTGGTCTTAGCTACTAGCTTCGTCCCAGCATGTTGTTTTTGCAGATGTTTTAAGAGATTTGAATGACTGGTTTGGGCAGTAGATAGGCTCTTTGACCCGACAAGACACAACTTACATTTAACTAAAACGTTCTTTTCTTTGTGCTCGACAAAAGTGAAATAGTGAGAATATCTCCAGGTGGAGAAACTAGACTTGAGCTCCGCCGCCGCCATGATAGTCTTGTTAGTAAACAACACAAACACGCCCACAGCCCGTCTCTGCATGTGACACAGGAAGTATCAAAGTACATTTACTCAAGTACTGTAAGTACAGTTCTCATCTATGTTCGCCTGGCTGTTGACTATATAAAAAAACTAACGCAGTAACGGAGTAACGCACCATGTAGTAACGGTAACTGAGTTACTGCATTTAAAAAGTAATGCGTTAGAGTACTAGTTACTGCCAAAAATAACGGCGTTACAGTAACGTTAGTCCCAACACTGTTAATGAGTGAGACACATCGGAGTTGAGGATCTGTGGGGTTTATTCTCCCAATAATATAATTTACAATTTAAGCATTTAGCAGACGCCTTATTCCAAAGCCACTTACAATGACATTCTCCCGGGAGTAACTGAGTGCCTTACTCAAAGGCACACTAGTGGTGGTGTTCCAGGCGGGATTTGAACTTGCAACCTTCCGATCATCAGCCCACCTCTTTATCCATTAGACCCCCAAACAAATAAAAATAAAAATAATAATTTTAAGTTTTTCTTTATGAGATCTATTTGTGGCGGACGATATTTAATTGTGGCGGCCCGCCACAAATAGATCAATGTATGGGAAACACTGCTGTATGTACTAAGCCTCAAGATCCTTTCTTGTGCTGGCAGACACATAGAAACATATTGGCGGGGCGCACTTCGCACGTGCACACACAGAACAATTCCACGCGCTCCATGCTCACATTTAGCTGGGCCTTAGCACCGCTGCTATGACTCCATCCTAGGGGAAACACTGGGGTAATTATTAAATATGATCAATCTTTCCGGTAAACTTGCCTGCTGCAAAACTAAGTTAAAGGATTGAAGAATATAAAGTACAACAACAATAATAATTGGACATGTGGAGTTTGTTGGCTTATTGTTTTTATAGATTTCACTGAAGAATGTCTGGATTTTACACATAGTAAACATTGTGACGCCTATTAAAATATGACCTAGCTAGATAATAAGTACCACCTTAACCCATAAACTGGAATATGTGCTGCTATGTTATTTATTAGTAAAATAGTTGCAACAACAAAAAGACACATTTTTACTTATTATTTAGGTTGTTGTCTTATAAATAAAATAATCAACCGTTTCCCGGAAAATCGAATAGTCTACAGCGAAAGGGAGCATAAAATGAAAAGAAAACCAATGTCTTCTTTAAAGAAACAGATTATCCAGGCTATAAATCCTGTGGCCTTCACCTTTCCTTAGTTTCTTGGCATTTGGCCTTGCAGGAGAAGAGTGTAATTCTACAGAAAGCTGCTGGGTCCCTTTCACCACATCCTCGCTGCAGAAACCCAACGCACAGTTTTCCTTCAGACCTTCTAGAGACATTACTACACATAGCAGAGGTACACGTCCACTTGAAGCAGGGGATATCCACTCTAACACCACATCTCGCCTCACAGCACGACAGCTCTTATGTTTGGAGGTCCTGTCGAGTTTCATCTTGTGTTCAGATGAGGAGCGTGGTTATCTGAAGTCCCCTGCCTGTCTCTGTGCGTTCAACACAGTCTAGACATGAGGGGAAACAGCCTGTCCCTGTGTGTGTGGCTGTAATAAGGGCCATGAGTCCCTCGAGAGCCCCCCCATGACAAATACTGTAGGCGTTTGTGGCTGAAGGGGTGAGGCATGATAGGACAATTCTGCCCTATTATCCCCTCCCACTATCTTATTGTGAAGGCTAAATATGAGCCTGTGTTGACCCTTACCTTCAGCGCACTGTTTTCCAGCTTTCCAAACCTGGCTATTATCCTATAGCCCCCCCCAAATACTCTACCCAGTGCTTCCGACTTCCAAGCTTCAGTCCTCAGCAGGGAGCTTGGCCCCCTCCCATGTTTGTTTGTCAGACCATGTCATATCTGTACAGTGACATGCTTGATGTTAAACTGGAATCACATGCTCCCTTATTGCTGCAACATGTGTTCACTCTTTAAGACAAAAACCCAACACTGTTGGGCCAAAATGCATTCATGGAATATTTAAAAATCTTAGACTTCCTATACAGTTGTTGGACACTTTGAGGAGAGAGAAGACAGAAAGGGATGTGTGTGTAGATACTTCCAGCTGTTCACTGTTTTGGAGATACATAGATTTTGCATAGTAACTGTTGGGGAAATATTTTCCAAGGCCCATAACTTTGACCCAGTTTATCAGTTCAAACTGTCCTGACTGAGCACACGCACCTCGTAACCTTGGCTGCTGTGCTCTTAGTGTTCTGTCTCCCTGTTCCTGCCTGTTGGCGTCAGCTGATAGAGGTGTTATGATTCTATCTTGTTCTCTCTGAACTAGCTAAATACATGGGTCTGGGGTAGAGTTCTTCAGATTTGACGTGGCAACTCTACCGTGAAGTCAAAACCTCTGGCTCTTGGACTTGTGATGTGAATTCTCCGGCCGAAGCTCCAAATAAACCATCAGTGTTTGACATCAAAGCTCCTGCTCTTCCCTTGTCTCTTTCCTGAGTCGGTGACTCCTCCTGCATTGTTACACAGACGTTTCCCTTACAACTGTGATGATTTATTGGCTCCATTAGTTCTTCGGGGAAGTCTGAGAAGAAGCCCAGTGTTGGATGAAAATTACTCTTGGCAGATGATTTTATATAACAAAAGTAACTGAGTGCAGATGCAGTCATGCATTGTGTGTGTGTGTGTTTCCACAGCATGTAGCACTCTCTGCCACTCTGCGGCGGATAGGAGAGGAAGTATCAAAGACCCCGGCTCAGATAGCGGTGCTTCAGTCTGAAGATCCAGAGCGGCCCCCCTGCAGGAGCTGGCCCCTGTACCGCAGCCCCCAGCCTCACACACGCATCCTCTCCAACCTCATCATCCTCCACACCGTCACGCAAGGTAACGGTACCAAACACAAAAATCCATCTAAAGCTAAAATGCAAACAAATGTTTATTTAGGGTCATAATGCAGGAAATAGGGTCAGAATAATGCATCAGGTAGAGCTAGCTACTATTATGATCTTTATTGATACATACAGTATGTCGATGGCTTATTTTCATAAAGGAATAGAGCTTTGTGTCAGAACAATTTGGAAATTTGACAATTTCCTAGAGCCCAAGGTGACATCCCCTGAACTGTCCAAGACCTAAAGATGTTTATATATAAACATATTATTAGTTAATTAATATTATTAATTTTAAATGATTCGCCCCCCCCCATTCTTTCGGAAGAGAAGGACGCTTTTTTAGCTTCAAAGATGAGATCTGAATTTCTAAGGGGCATGCTTAATTGCTGTGTTGAAACCAAGAACTTATACCTGTTTTAATTATATTTGCTGTTATAACAGACTTAATTTAAGAGATAGAAAATGATAATGAATGTATTAAAGGTGGGGTAGGTAATTTTGGAGAAACCAGCTCGAGTGCGCTAGAATTAAAAAAATACACAGCCGGAAAAAATCTGCCACTTCCTTACAGAGCCCCTCCTCCAACACACACGAACGCGCACATGACCAATGAGGGCACGAGATAAGTTTGTGCACAGATGGAAGGCTGACAGGCAGGTAGGCCATCCAGTTACTTTAGCCGGGCCGGCTAAAATGATTGGTCGTGCTTTTTACAGCGCTACGGCTTCCACAGATGACATTTTTTTATGGATTTTTTGTCAAATCATTTAAGATATTCATTGCTATCGGGATGTTAAGAGCATTCCATGGAATATAACAAAAAGTGTATCTCGAGCCGGTTTCTATAACTTACCTACCCCACCTTTAAGTATTTAAAAATGAATCGTTAATAGTGTCTGTGATCAATGTATGTAATGATGTAAATACCCAATCTCATACATTCAATTGTATATGTACAATTTCAATAATCATAAAAAGAGAAGAGACTTTAAGGAAAAACATGATATGCTTTCCTTCTCTATGCTACGTTTTCTTTATTCTGGATAAAGGCCTTTAAAATAATGTGAAATAAGTTATTTTCATTATTTGTCTTTAGTAAGATAACACTTACTTTATATTAATAATAATTTGATTAATAAAAAAAGCAGGTTATAAAAGAAACATGATCCGACCTACAAAACGTGTGTGTGAATCTGCTGTTAATTATCACTTCCCACTCTGCTCACACCCACCTGTGTAGGTGTGAACGCACAGAAAGAGCAGGGTGTTAGACATGTAAGTGCTGCTTACACATACTTCACAGGCTGTGTAAACATCTCACTCCACATTTTAATCAAAATCTTCCCATCAAAGCTAACACAAGTACATATTTCAGTATAAGTGCAGAGCAAGTGTACCTTGTTGCAGTGCACACCATCTGTAATCTGGGCAAATACATGTTTTGAATCGCACAAGCCAGTTCTGTCAGTCCACCACTGTCTCAACAACAATTGAATGGATAGCCATGACTTCCTGGACATGCATACATTGTTCCCAGTGGATATTTCTATAACTGTCTTGACTCCTTTTGGATGGATTGCAATACATTTTGATACAGATACTCAAGGTCTCCAGAGGATGTATCCTATTGACTAGGTGTCACCGGCAGATTGTTATTTTTGAATTTAAGAAAAACATAGTATGGGAAGAGTCTACAAAACTGGGACAAACACTCATGCTCCCCAGAAGATTCATTGTAATCAAACTCCCATATTTGGAACTTGGTCATGTCTATTTTACGGCTTTTTTGTCTTCTGGAAAACATGAAGCTCACAAAGCTTCTCGCTACTATATTTACCAAATGTTGCCCCCTTGCCTTCCACACTATACATCTTAGTGCCCTCAGTGGGTGCAGCCGACATACCCGCTGATATTTTGATGAAACTCTTCTGAACTGACCCTCCATCTGCTCGTAATGCTTGAAGGGTCTTCAGTATGTCTTTTAAGAGACTATTTTCTGTCAGTCTGCTCACCAGGTTCTCTTTCTCCTCTTCTGTGGATTGACAGGAAACTAGATTCAGTTTAATGGAGAGATGTTTCTTCCCTTTCATATTTGATGGGATCTTACAGATAATGGGTACCATTCTGAGATGGAGCTAACCAAAATCAGCCCAGCATAAAATAGACAAAGCTTTTATCCCATGTGAGGTTGTATAAATCCAACCCTTTCGGACATTTGAAAAGCATTTTCGGAGAACTTCAGAAACCCTCAGAAGTATATGAGGTGATCACAGATCGTATATTTGAAGATGACAGGCAAAGAGGATTCTGGACGCCAAAAGTGAATGTAGAAGGATGGCAAGCATTAAGGCAAATGTACAGTGGTGGAGTGTAAGAAAGAAAGAAAGGAAAGAGCCTTGGATATTAGGGATAAGATGGTGAAAGGGTAGATGGAAGATAATTGTGCTGTTGCAGCTACACACCAACAAAAACAAAGATTCAAAGATTAGATAAGTGTTGCAATGATTACTTGATTAGTCCATCAAAATCCACCGTGGATTACACATTTCCCTTTGTTGTCGGGTCTGACATTTGACATCTCATGGAGGAGTTCCTCTCTCATGGTCGGACAAGACTTTAATTTATAATGAATGATGTCGTCACACTTAGTACCGACTGACCTTTACCCAAACTCTCTTGGTGTTTTTTTTCCTGGTGCGGTCAGACCATATAAACATCATGGTCCCTGGTAGACCCCCGCACATATAACAGCACAGACTATAACAACCCTTGTTGTGCAATTTTTTTTGAACTTTTTCTTTTTTATCTTTAATATCTTTTAATGCATGCTTCTTGGGTAATATTAAGCTGTCTTTGGCTCTTTTCCTGCTGTAACAAATGCAAAAATCCCCTCTGTGGGACGAATAAAGGGATTCTGATTCTGGTGTCCTCTCATTGTGCTTGGCTTCATACTGTCGTTTATTAGCTATTCACCACACATTACATTCGGGCCAAGAAATGCCCTTTCTGTCAAAAGAGACGGGAAAAGAGAGTTATTGTTTAAACAGCTTTTTATATAGAAATAACATAATTTAGCTTGTTTTCTAAATGTAGCACTCTATTACTTGCCAATTCATCAACCATCTTTTTCAGCTGAAAGTCGAGCAGTTAATATAAGGTTGATAGGATCTAAAAACCTAATTTAAGATCTAATCAAGTATGTCTGATAGTAAATATTCCTCTCTCTCTGTCTGCAGCTGATGTGCTAGCCCAGGCTCTGGACAGTCTGCGCACCGAGCTGATGTCTGAGGAGAGCCGAGGCCTCTTCCTCCACTCTGGAGGCGTGCGTGTGCTGCTGTCGATGCTCCGGGCCGGCCGTGGAGGGCTTCACACACCTGTAGACATCCTCATGCAGCTTGCTGAACAATCCCGTAAGTAGATGTTTCAAATTCAAAGCAAATCACTGCCTACTATGCGATTGTTGATACAAATCCACACAACAGTGATAAAGAAACCGAAACCCTCCAGTGCAGGGCAGACTTGACAGTACAGAAATGACTTTTTAGCAGTAGCTTAGTTTTAACATCTCCGTCTTTGAGAATAATTTTGATTCATAGCAGACATCTCAATTGAGTCAAAGGTATGGCTAAATCTCTCCGATGTTTCCGGTTAGGCTAACCATCTTGATGCGCATTGGTGCAAAAGATAGTTCCAGCATTTCTCAGAGATTGGATACTGTGAATATGCTTCCAGCCCGTTTTTACTATTTAAAACCTCATCATATTAAAAATAATCACAGTGGAGTATTTTTGAAATACTTTAAACATGTCTGAGTGTGAACTTGTACACTTCCTTAGGAAACGGCCTGTAGTTGCCGTGGCCTCGAAGCTGCTGTGATCCCTCTTCTAGCCCCGAGATTTACAGACAGTTTTTTGTACGACTATTAACTTTGATTTATACCAGCTCCTCCTTCAGATTGACTCCATATCATCCCCATATAAAAACCACATGTGAAAGGTAACGGTTTGTCTGAGCTCACATCAATCATCGCTGGTCAGGCAAAAAAAGGTTTAGAAGCTGTCAATAAACCTCGGACCTCCACCGCCTCCCGGCCTTTTTTATAGAAAGACAAAAGACGAGAGCACAGCTGCAGGAGGTTCGCGCGGGTTATGAGCCGCATCATTTAGGGTTGCTACGGTAATACGCAGCAGAACCACATGCTGGAGGTGACTTTGGCCGGAGCCGTGTGTGTGTGTGTGTGTGTGTGTGTGTGTGTGTGTGTGTGTGTGTGTGTGTGTGTGTGTGTGTGTGTGTGTGTGTGTGTGTGTGTGTGTGTGTGTGTGTGTGTGTGTGTGTGTGTGTGTGTGTGTGTGTGTGTGTGTGTACCTACAGTTGTGTGTTTTAAGGAGCTGTAAGTCTGGCTAATTAGTGCATTTTACAAGCAGTAATGAGGAGAAACGGGGAAAGGGTGAGGCAGAGGGGGAGAAAGGTTTGCACCTGAAGGTTGCCCATAAAAGAAAACAAAACAAAAAGGTTAAGTTGTACACATAACACATGCACACACACACATGCAGGACTTCTGTGGTCACACTGACAACTTGTATGCACTTCAGTCACATAGCAGTTACACAACACATCTCACAAACTGGCTCTGAAGGATGTCTGGCAAACAGTGGGTACATTAACTACCACACTGCTGCATGCAGTATATTTAACTGTCATGGAAACATATGAATGTGCTTGGTGAGTGTTTGTGTTCTTTCCACGCTGGCCACAGTAATGAAGTGTTTGTTATTTGTTTTCATAGCTTTGCAGTTAAAAAGCCCTCCCTGACCTGTTAAACTACTTTAGGCAAGGACTGTTTACCCATATGTTTCCCCCTATGCTGTAAACCTAAAAAACCACAGGTAATATGTCTGTTTGTGATGTGTGAGTGTGTGTCCATCTCCATCTGTATCTGTGTATCCACATAAATGTAGAATGTAGCACAGAATAATAAGATAAAGCGCCATCAGAGGAAGCAGTATGAGCAAAGGTGCTGCACACATTTGTTGGATTCAATATCGCTGCTAATGAAACAAATAATACAACCTATATGACAATAACCACATGAGTTTTGAAAAGATTCTCACTCAGGTCTGGAAGATTTAAAAACATTAGAGAAAGTTGTTGCAAAGAACGTTATTATTAAAATACACTATTAGCAGATATTTCCCTAAATATTCACTAGTCAGGAAGTTTTAGTTAAAGATGCAAAATAAATAAGAAACAGTTCAAGACGAGGTGAAAGGATGTTATAACTGAAACTGACCAAACTATCCTTTCCTGCCTCATCTTTCATATCAGATTATATCCTTCCTTATCTGAACCTGATCCCATTCTTCTCCGTCCAATCCTGCGCTGTGATTTGATGCCAGCAGAACTTCTGTACCAGCTTAAAAAAAAGTCCCTCTGTGGCTCAGATTGTATTCTCTTACCCCGGTGCGTGGTGGACTACAGTGGAGAGTTAGTTTGAAAAGCAGCAGGAATGTGACTTTAGCAGAAACAAATGTTTGTTTACCAGGAATCCCAAATTGAAGGCCTTCATGAGGTCCACATTTGCTTTTATTAAAAAATGTGCAGCTCCCATCTGTGTGGATAGATGCTGTTGTCCTTTCACTGTTTCATCTCCCTGTGTGTGTGTGTGTGTGTGTGTGTGTGTGTGTGTGTGTGTGTGTGTGTGTGTGTGTGTGTGTGTGTGTGTGTGTGTGTGTGTGTGTGTGTGTGTGTGTGTGTGTGTGTGTGTGTGTGTGTGTGTGTGTGTGTGTGTGTGTGTGTCATCACAGAGTCTCTCTCACCAGCATCTGTGTCCCTGTTCCTGTCCAACTCACTCGATCGTTAAAAGTGTTTTCATGGTTTGCTTTGGCATCCCTGTATTTTCACTGCTACAGTATGTAAATCTGAAGTTGATAATTTCCGTCTTCTCAGAAGTTTTACCATAAAATGTAAATGTGTTGTTCGTTAGAGAAATTGTTTTGATGGTTTCTTTCTTTGCTTCTTTATGTGCTTGTAGGCTACTTAAATCCCTTCCTTGAGGCGTGTAGCTGTGAAGAGTTTTTTCGAATGGCCGCCCAGCTTCTCAAAAACCCTCGTCTGGAGCTCCCGACGCTGGAGAAGCTCTCCGTCCTTCTGCAGAAGCTCTCCACCATCAGGTAGACACACTCATCTGCATACTGTAGATACAACACTCTGAACATGGGCATCTACAGTATACTCCTGAGGAGGATGAACTAAATGCAGGTTTTATTTCTATTTGACGTGTCGACATAGACTGATCCTTATCTGACCTACATAACCTGGGTCATACATTTGACCTCCCTTATGATCATGAAACCTATATTCCCTTACTTTCTACTCTTTGCCATAGATAAAAACAATGGTTCCCTATCTTTCTTGTGATTCCTAAAAAGCCTAAAAGCCTTTCAAGAAAAAAGCAAAGAAAAAACATAAAGTTCTGCACCATGTTTTTTTTTTTCAATGTTCTACCCTGTTGATTATCTCATGACCCCTCACATTTGTGGCCCCTTGTGAGTGTTACACTCCCCAGCTTGTGAATCTGAGGTTACCTACTGTAACCCCAGATTCTATGAGTAAATAGCGCAGCCCTCTAAGGCTATCGCTATTGGGTAATCCCAATAATCCCCCCACTACAAGTGTTTCAGTGCTGCGCCCCTGCGCAGCACTGAAACACTTGTAGTCCACGCCCACCCGCAAGGTGGGCCCCACCCTCGGGCTCCCTTCCGGTATAAATAGGAAGGAGGCCCGGCAATCTGCTCCCATACTAAATAACTTTTCTTCAGCTATTCGTAGAGCCAGTGGGGCCCAGCACTTAGAGGGCTGCGCCATTTACGCATAGAAGCTGGGGTTACAGTAGGCTCTAAGGCTATCGCTATTGGGTTAAGGGCGAAGCATGATGTAGTCTGCGCCCCACTGGGTCCGCCCGGCACTAGAAGCACAGACACACCTGCTCAATAACACCCCCCTGCCTGTTGTGCCATGCATAATGGCGCATCACCGTCCCTGGAACATAGCAAAACATGCCTATCTTCCCTGACGGGGTGAAGGCTGGGAACAATACGTACCGGCCGCTGTGAGAAAGTAGAGACGAAGGTCCCACCTTGCCCAGCGATCATAGAGGGGGAACAGCCGCTCTCTGCGTGTCAGACAGGTAGGAGAGCGCCCAGCTGGATCCCTGACGTCACTCACTCTGACCAGGCACTCCGTACAAAGTGTGTCAGAGGAAAAAGGAACATCCCTCCTATAAGAGGGAAAAAGGGCCGCTCTCCGCGTGCCGATAGGCAGGAGAGAGGCGCACAGCTGGCTCCCTGACGTCACTCACTCTGACAGGACACCCAGTACAGGGTGTGTCAGAGAGGAATGGGAGACCTCCCTCAAATAAAATTGAATACATGAATAGGGGGAAGACCTTAATGCAGCAGTGCAAATGTCTTCCACTGACATTCCTCCGTGCCAAGCCGTGGAGGAGGAAATTCCTCTGGTGGAGTGCTCATTGATGTTCTCCGGGGGATCCACCCCAGAGGAGACATATGCCTGTGACACAGCCTCACACAGCCAGTATGACAGGCGCTGTGCAGACAGAGATTGCCCGATCGAGCGCTCTCTATAGTGCACAAACAGGCGCTGAGAACGGTGACAGGCCGCTGTGCGCGCCACATAGCAAGACAGCGCGCTTACAGGACAGAGGAGATGAGACGTGGCTTCATCCTCCGACCTGTAAGGAGGGGGGAATAAGCCAGCCAGGGTGATCACTCTTGACCTAAAAGAGTTGTGATGACCTTAGGCATGAAGCCAGGTTAGGCGTAAAACAGATGAACTGCCATCTCCTTGGATCCGGAGACATGACGGAGCCACAGAGAGAGCAGACAAATCACTCACCCTTTTCTCTGTTAGAGCCAAAAGTAGTACTACTTTGGCTGATAACAGTTTAAGGGGAACCTGATCAGGTTCAAATGGGGCTTTGCTTTAGTAACACCAAAGCCAAATCCCACTGAGGAGCCAGTGTGCGTGACACAGGTCTGAGTCTCCATACTCCTCGCATACAACGGCTGCTGCGCTCTGCGAGCCCTTCTGTTAATTTCTGATGGAGAGCAACGTGTGTGCGTGCCCAGAACAGCAGCCGCCTGGCTGCGTTCAGAAGCTGCGCAGAACGTACTCCTCCCTGGCGATAGCCGTGGCCTGTTGTCTGTGCAAATCAACACATGTTTGATTGTACAGCAACGGGGCGACTCCCCCGTTCTTTTCCGAGATTTAGAAAAATAGCGGGAGTAAAAACCGCGCAAGACACTGTTCATGGGATGACAGGAGTGTTTCTTGTATCCCATGGAACTGCCGGGGGGAGAGGCTTCTCTGTGATGTGCCGTAATGGTCGTCATGGTGACGAGCCACGCCATCGCTGCCGCTGCCCGTGAGGCAAAAGGGCTGCGAGGGAGTTTCCACACGCTGCATTTCACTCCGTCTCTCATCATGAGGCGTACCCAGAGGATGAGTGGTGTGTGCAGTGCTGTCCACACGAGGCGTTATAACGGTGCTCGTGGATTTATTATGACCGTGTGTAGGAGGCATATCTGGGACAGAGGAATGCCGCGAGCCCTGCAGTTTATAAACCAATAGGTTAAAAACAGCAGGCTTCTGCAGCGAATGAACCACCTCTGGAGTGTCCCTCTGTTGGAAGAGACCCAAGGGGATTATCACGTGACCAGCTGACGCCAACGCCGAGCAGCTGCGTCACGGAGAGGGCTGTGTGGGTTCCTCCACTCGCTGCCGCGAGAGCCGCGCTCTGCTGGCTGAGTTTAATTCCACTCCCAGATAAACGTTTGTCTGAGAGGGAAGAGGACAGCTCTACTTCCAATTTATTATGAAACCCAGGCTTTGACAGATGTGATACGAGATGTACCGTATGTAAAGCGACTTCCTCCCTGGAGCGAGCCAGCAAATAGCAGGTCGTCCAGAGGAAAACACACTCTCATCCCTCCTCTGTGTAGTGGCTCCAGCCTTCTCTACACAAAAATGCGAGGAGCCAGGAAATATCCAAACGGCAGACAATTGTCTGGTCTGATATTCCCTGAAATGAGAATACGCAGGAATTTCCTGTGTTTTGGGATGAGGGGTACGTGGAAGTATGCATCCTTCAGGTGGAAGTGAACCAGTCGTCCTGGTGAACACATTCCAGCACCTGTTTGATCGTCAGCATGTGGAATACCGACAGATCGAGGATGTCTCATTGCCCCAGTCTTTTTCGGGATTAGAAAAATAACGGGAGTGAAAACCCCTGATTTTCCTCCCTTTGAGGAACCCTGGAAATATCCTCTTTCAACAGGAGTTCCAGCAGCTCGGATTGGAGCACAAGACATAGCTTCTGGGAGGACAGGAGTGTTTCCTGTATCCCATCCCATTGAACTGTGGGGGGGGGGGGGGGGAGAGGCGAACTGCAGGGTGTATCCTCTGCTGATCAGCCTGCTCATCCATCTGTCCATCAGACCCACGCGCTGCCACTCTGAGAAAAACTCTGAGAGCGGGCGCACACGCTCGAGATGTGTTTTTTTGGTCGTCATGGTGACGAGCCACGCCAGAGCCCCTGCCGCCGCTGCCCGTGAGGCAACCCAAGGTGGGCTTGGACCGAAAGGGCTGTGCGGGGGCCTCCACACGCTGCGTCTCACTCCGACTCTCATCATGAGGCGCGTACACGCTCAGGGGATGGATGGAGGTGTGTGCAGTGCTGCCCACATGAGGCGTTATAACGGCGCTCATGGGTTTATTAAGGCCGTGTGTACAAGGCGTATCTCGGACAGAGGAATGCCGCGAGCTCTGTAGTTTATTAACCAACAGGTTAAAACCAGGCTTTAGCAACGAGCCCTGCTGGCTATTAACCGACAGGTTATAGGCAGCTGGTTTACACAGGGCGTGAGGCAACCCCAGGTGGGCTTGGACCGAAAGGGCTGCGCGGGGGCCTCCACACGCTGCGTCTCACTCCGACTCTAATCATGAGGCGTGTACACGCTCATGGGATGGATGGAGGTGTGTGCAGTGCTGCCCACATGAGGCGTTATAACGGCGCTCATGGGTTTATTATGACCGTGTGTAGGAGGCGTATCTCGGACAGAGGAATGCCGCGAGCTCTGCAGGTTATTAACCGAGGTTAAAACCGGCAGGCTTCTGCAGCGAGCCCTGCTGTCTACTTAATCAACAGATTAGTGGCAGCCGGCTTAATTAACGAGCTCTGCAGTTTGGAGCCAGCTGTACATGCTGGCGAATGCCATCCGCCTGTTCCGTGGCCGTCTTCATGGACTCCACCATGGCGTGGAACTGGGGTCCGAACAGCCCGTCCGGGCTGATTGGAGCGTCCTGTAGCACTTTTCTGGCCGTCTCCGTAACAGACGCCTGCTTCAGCCAGAGGTGGCGCTGGATCTGTGTCACCCACGCGGAAATCCTCGCCTGGAAGACAGCAATGGACGCGCACAGAATGAGCGCCATGCTGGCCGCCTTGCTGATTTCCTCTGCCTCGGTGGTGGACCGCTCTACCAGTGTCACCACCGAGTTGGAGAGCAGCACGATGTTATTCGCCGCCGCGCTGTGGTGACGGAGAGGGGGAAAGCATGTTCGGCCGCCAAGCTGGCACCCTGCTCCGACTCTGTCTCCCCCGTCCGGAGGAGAGGAGGGAGGGGAGAACCGAACGGTGAACCGTGGAGGGAGGCGGGGCAGGAGTTGCTTTTCTTCGGACTCCTGCCCGGCACTCGGCCCCAGGGACACGAGGCCCCGTCCGCGGGCTCGTAAGCCTGGACAGGCCAATCGTCCTCCTCGGCCACAGCAGCAAGAGCGTCCGCTCTCCGCTTCCTGTCGCCCGAGGGGAGACGGGCGCAGTGTGTGCATGCTACCTGCTGGTTTAGAGCCGCGTACGCGCGCTCTGACCCCAGGCAGGATTCGCATTCTGTGTGCTGGTCATAACTCATTATGAACCCAGAGCCACATGAGGAACAATCACGGACGCAGTTGTTGCTCATGATGATTCTCAATTTGCTGTGCTTCAGTAACTGTGCTGGTTTTCTGAAGAAAAGAGGGAGCAGATTGTCGGGCCTCCTTCCTATTTATACCGGAAGGGAGCCCGAGGGTGGGGCCCACCTTGCGGGTGGGCGTGGACTACAAGTGTTTCAGTGCTGCGCGGGGGCGCAGGGGGATTACCCAATAGCGATAGCCTTAGAGGGCGAAGCCATATACGAAATAGAACCATATGATTGTTATGTCAGCACAATCTTTCAGTTTGTTGTGGTCATAAGAAATCCACACCTTCACCATTTCCAACAATCTTTATCGTGAATCTAGCAATGCAAATGTTGCTCTTATAAACTATGAAGAAAGTCCGTTGACCTCTTTGGTCCAGATTTGAATATCTCAACAATGGGATCGACATATAATCCTATACAGACCATAACAGGTTTAATTATGATGAGTACTAATAATAACGCTAGTGATTCCTCTTCCTGTGTTTGACATCCATTTAACCCAATCAGTTGCACACATATCAACTCAAAGCAACTTAAGTATAACTCTAGCATTGTTATTACTGGATTTTGTCAGACATTACAATGATAAACAATCTTTTCTTTTCACTAAAATAATAAAAAAAGTCCTCCATTTGTTGAAGGTCTTGCTGTTGGTCAAAGCTGGTGAGCAGCTTGTCTCTTAAATGTGAAAAGCTGGTCAACCTTCAAGGTCAGCCCTCATTAAGTGAGCCTGGGCCAAAATTCTTCCTCACATCTGGGCTCACCCCCTTCACTATAATCAGCAGCAAGACGCAGGAATAGGTTGGGTTTTAAGGAGTTGTAGCATTTATTCACAGACAAATAGATTGAACAAATGCTGCATTTCTACATTAAAATATTTGAAATTGCTTACCTCATACTCACTGAGCTCTCTATCTATTTAGCCTAGCACCTGTAGCATTGAATGTGTACGAACTAGGTGCTCTTGAGCGGAAATGATCAATAGTCACTTGAAAAAAAAGGCGTATTTTAAAGATGATGATATGTATCGATGCTTTTGAGAATTTGTAATCGTTTAATAGATCTGTATCGCTCTTGCTGACTCATGGGACTATGTTTTCACAGACTGTCTTTGGACTGACGGGTTGTTGCGTATTTCTTTGATTTTGTCCAGGAAGAACCGCCGTCTGTTTGAGCGGTCCTCCCTCCACCTCCAAATACAAGAGCTCAATCACAAAGCCAACCACACACACAACTTCCTCTGCATCAACCTCAGGTCCATCCTCCACAACCTCCAATAACACACACACACACACACACACACACACACACACACACACACACACACACACACACACACACACACACACACACACACACACACACACACACACACACACACACACACACACACACACACACACACACACACACGTGTTTTATGCTCTAGTATTGGCCTTAACAACCCAGGCCTCCCAGTGAGGATGAAGGTGACTCTCTTTGTGTTTCAGTACTTCAGCATGTTTCTCGGTCTTATTGTTTTTCTATCCCACAATGCTAATCTGATGTCTTGTCCTCTGTTCCTTCTGTGATTGTCATGCTTGCCAGCGAACTTAATGGGTGTCTGATGTGCTCAGAGGAAGAGAGGCGGTGACTGGGAAGCTTTTTAATGACAATAAACAAAAACAACTGAAGGACATTAAGACGGGACTGCATATGAAATGCTGGGATCCATGTGTTTTTTATAAACGTGTCTTATTTGTTTATTCCAGAGCATGGGTGGGTTAGTGGGAGTAATGGGCTCAGTATGGGACACACTGGTGGTGTTGGGTGATGGAGGAGATTGGACGGACTGGAACAATTACGGACGATATTAAAAACGTTCTCGGAAGTGTTCCAATTTAAAAAGAGTGCATCCAATTTTTTTTAAGGCCACTACAGCATCTGAATTCCTGAATTAACGGCGGGCTTGGAAGGGCTCAGTCATCTGTGTGAAATTAACATTGTATAAAAATGTATTTATTTTGTGAAAGCGCAAATTGTCAACCCTACCATATAGTCTAGAAAATTAGTTTTTTGGGCCAAAGATATTGTGATGTTATCTCCATATTGTCCCGCCCTAGCTACAGCCAATGATTTTCATGGTCAGTTAAGCTGTCAATTATGTTCTTGCATAATCAATGAATTTCTTGTTTTACATTAAGTCAGAAATAACATAGCAATAGCATTTTGAATGATATTAAATCAATCAAATTAAAAAGCATTGTTTATTAATTGACATAATATTGTTACACTCAACCTTTTTTTTAGTGGGAATGCTGATACAGCATTCCCACTAACTGTTATTCTACGCACGAAAAGTTTATTATTATTATTCCGCCGACTTATTTTGGCCCTCTTCTCCTCCCGCATTGAACATCGTAGAAACTCCGTTCAAACATCAAAACGTTCAGCTCAGTCGGGAATCAATGGCTATTACTTTTCTCATTCATAACTTTCATAATTCCAGAGATACATCCCATAATACATCCCATTTTTAACCATTGAAGTCAATGGAGAAATTCTTCAACTTCAACAAATCTTCATGCGACTTCAACTGCTAACTGTTCATTCATACTTTCACTCAGAAACCTCATTCTAACTTTAAAATGTTACACATCTTTCTGACATTATTCGTCTAAAACAACTTTTAAATCTGATTCTTACTTTTAGAGATATTACACATTGTTCAGACCTTGTTTTAGAGGTTTTCTTCAGATTTTAACATTAACTAGAGTAAGTGAAGTCACAGCTTCTACAGCAGGTAGGAAATCTTGAAATTTGCCTTCATATATATTTTTTTTATTTCCCAAACCCTACATTCCTGAGACATAATTTTTCATGACAAACGTAGGAAAACATCTCGTAGCTTGAAAAATGACAAATAATTAAGCAAAACAATTCAACAAAATGCCTCTTGAGGGCATGAAGTGACAAAAACGTTCAACATGCCTCCATTAAAGCCCATTGTAATTTCAGGCAGATACTTCCTCACGGTAGCAGCCGCACACCTTTAGTTAGTTAAACTGCCAAAAAGGCCACATTATTAACCCGAAACTACACAAAAATTACACTTCAGATACTCAACTTCCTTGACATGCTTCACGTTTTGAAATTTCACAGATATCTGTTACGGTTCTTCCACAAAACGTTCACATGTAAGAGGTTCATCTCTCATTCAGAACAATGGAAACCTGTGATCTCTGCACACCTCGTTAGCTCAAATATAAACACCTGTGTAATGGAACACGATGATGTCATCACTCCAACTGACATGCAGCAGACTTCAACAGTCCAGCCGTGAAGACATCTTCGGGACAGTTTTGAGATTTCTTCAAATGCCGTTGCCATGGCAACACAATGCTCGCCTTGAAACACGGTTTTCTCATAACTTCAGTGAAAATACTCCAAACAGCTCAGAACTTCACAGGTTTGATAACGATGCAGCCATCAACGCATCTAAGCGTAGTATGGGGTGTCATCAAATGCCCGGGCGATGCCTGTGCCCTGTGGATCAGAGCGATTGCTCTGCTGTGATTGTTCCGTCAGAAATGCCTGTAGGGGCCCGACAGCCTCCTCCTCAGCCGCGGGAGCAAGACAAGCACAGGTAAGCAAGCGGACCAAGCTGTTTTGATATGATTTAACTGAAGTATGTGGTAGTATTTGAAAGGACTTAACATTTACGTGTTTATAGAAAGTACTATTGATAGGTAATTACCATTGTATTAGCCTATTTAAAGTTGACTCGTTACATTTTGTCATGAAAACTAGCGATAGCTAGCTAGTTTGGATAGCGCTAACGTCTTCCCTTCAAGGGGTCTACATCTAGTGTTGCTTCTACAAGCTAGCAGATAGCTGTCACCTTTGAATCTAGTATTTTTCTTGCTAAGCGGTTTTGATATAATACATGACTGACTTATGTGGTTTATGGCTGAACTTAACGTATACGTTAAAGAAACACTATTGCTATTTAGCCATTTGTAAAACGACTGGTGTTGACGTTAGTGCTACACTTTTCAGTCATGTTGATTGACCAGCGTAATTTAACCAAACGGCCTTTGTGCCCTGTCATGTGGCCTTTGTGCCCTTAAAAAAAATGTGAACGGGAAGGCCAAATGGCCTTGCCCCTAAAATGACGAAATTCCAAGCCTGGATCTCACCATAGGCTGTTGCCATGGAAACGCATCACTCGCCATAAAACACATGTCGCTGTGGCTCCAATGGACACGGTCCGGTCGTCCCACAATCTTCACCTGTATATCACCTCTCCATGCCTCAACAGCTCTACGTCAAATCTGAAATTTCACCATATGCCGTTATCCATGGAAACGCATCCCTCGCCATAAAACACGATGTTGTCGTAACGCCTATGAAAAGGGTCAAAACAGCACTCGTTTCCCTCGCCATAAAATATGATGTCACTATAACTCCTATGCAAATGTTCAACAACTTCACATGTGTGCTAACAGTCCAGCCGTGAAGACAAAAAAATGCTCCAAACGGCCCAAAACTTCACAGGTTTGGTAACGATGCAGCCATCAACGCATCTAAGCGTATTATGGGATGTCATCAAATGCCGTTGGCATGGCGGCAGATCATTCGCCATCAAATTAGTTCAAAAGTTTCCAGTTCAAATATTCTGCTGCTTTTCCAAGCCTTTTTACTTTCTTTTCTTCTCTCATCACACATTCAAGCCCCCAGTGTTCATGTATTATTTCAATCTAAATTCTTCACTTTCTTCTTACACATTACATTTCAGCATAGCAGTTTAGCGTCAGCTTTTCAGCATAAAGCATTCCCACTAGCAATTTCTTCAGGAATTGCATTCTCTAGTTTTTAAGTGACATTCATTCCTTAAACGAGCCAAACCAACTTTCTTTTTTTTAGCTTCCTATTTCCCACTGTGAGACAGGCACATGAACGAGCAGTAGCTTATCATTTAGTTAGCTCTTTAATTATATGGAATGTTAATACCTCAAATTACTCTGTTTTCTAACCACTTCTATTATTACGTGCAAGAACAATGTTAAAAGTTTTGTTTATAGGCAAAATGACTGGAAAACAGTTGGATTTGAGATATTTTCATTGCTTCTCTTTTGTGGCTGTATTTTGTTGCATCTGGATGATATCAAATGGAAACATCAGGCTTTATGATCAACATGGAACACATTCTGCACACGCAAACACTCTTCCCCACGCCACCCAGGGTATATGTTCAGGTCTGACTCTCACTCCTCACAAATTCCCGAAAGATAGGCAGATACAGTGTGGTTTATTAAATTACCATGTGAAGATCATCATATTATCATCCGCCGTTTCTGCTGCATCCATCTCTTGTGCCTCGGAGCACGTCAGCTCTCCAGATAAAATATAAATTGATTGAAGACTGTAGCTAAATGTAAAGCAGCCCAACACTTCTTTGGTAAATCTGTATTTTGGAGCTTTTTAGCACAGTGGAAACACATGACACCCGGATAAGTGTTGCTCCGATCAGAGGTTTAACAAATGAATTAAATCAGATTACCAATTAATCTCATCTTGTTATGGGCTGTTCCCTCTCAGCAATGCAGTTTAGATTAATTTAGTGGGGACAAATCCCTGTTTGGCAATCCTGGCTATTAAAATGTCCTAGATTTCTTTTTTTCTTGGATAAATAAAGCAGTTCCTGTGTTAGTATTCTGGCTCAGTGTTGTTTTAAGATGACCTTAAAGTGACACTGCCATTTTCACCATTTGCAAGTCTCAAATATGGCTTTTTGTAGTTTCCTCCTTTAGGGAAAGCTGTGGTCAATTTGAAAGTGTAATTTATATGCCATAATTATACTTTTACTGACAAAAATGCCACACAAACCTGACATCAGGAAGGGCATAACGTTCACAGAAGCAGTATGTTTGCAAACATCTGTATCAAACTGAGCTCATGGGGGCACAGTGAAGATTGAGATTGCAGTTTCTTTAGAACGTATCACACTTTGAATTTATTGTAAGTGACATGAACCTAAACTCAAGGAATCAAAAACTCTTTCCAGCTGCCTTTGGGGGTAAATGTTTGACACTAGATCTTGGGTGGAGTATCACTTTAAAGTGAGATTATTGCCTTTATACCTACTCCAGGAAGTGTCGACGGCTGATTATTTACTTTCATGACTTCAGCTGAGTCTGGTGCTCCATATCCGTGTCTGCTCCGTGTCCAAACACTGCCAGCCTGCCCTGCACAGCATCACCCACACGACTTTAAACACTGATCTTGATTTATGTTTAGGTTTTTTTTTCTCAGTGGACCAAAAACTTTGAAAATTACCGTAAAGAGTGGCCCTGCTCTGGTCTGGCTGGTAAGACTCATTAAAATGTTATTTGGTCGGTGGGAGGGGGCTGGCAGGGGGAAACATTAGCGGTTCCACTTGAGCACACCATAAAGTCAAGTCAATCAGCGATTTGACATGGCAGACCACCAAATGTATATGATTTCCCCCAGCCGCAATATGCATAAATATGCTTCATGACTAATGCAATAAGCACATGGAGGTTCGGGTAATATACCTGACTGTAAATTATCTGGAGAGTGGAAGCAGCTGTCACCAGCTGTTTATGGTGCACAGGCTGATCACACTGGTTTCCAAATTCCTGTTTGTTTTCACTTCTTTTATTCTGCTTTTCTATCATTACCATGGACCAAGACGCTGAAATAAAGTGTCAATCTTGATGTAGTAGAAACCGCTTATGGTGATTAATCGTTTATATAGATCAAAAAGCTTGGCACAAAATCATTCTTATACAAACGCTATTTAAACAACCTGCTTATAGTAATCAAGAATGTTGGTTTGTTTGATACATTACAACATATGGGAATCATGTTGCATTTCATATTTATCTTTGTTCTTGGCATGTATAGCCTACAAATTATTTTCAGGCCTGTTTAAACTTCAGAAATGTACTGAAATCCCCACCAAGCAATGGCTAACTGTTTTAGTCTAAAGTCTAATTCTAATTTGAACTATAACACAATACATTTGATATATCTTAATAAACGGTGCTGTACTATATTGTATTTGAATTATGAATAGCAGTCATTTAATTTGCACAGTAATTAGACAAATATGTTGCTCTTATAGAGATCCATTTGACCCAAACAGACTTCACTATAAGAGGTTTTGACTGTATATGAT